CACTGAAGATTCTCATTAGATTTTAAAGCATTCTCTTTAGGACTAGGACAGTGCCTCCACTATACTTACACCACATTCAGAAAACTTCCAATGGCCAAAATATCAGATATAAATGCTGCAACACTGCAGCAATGATCTGATGCCACACGCCCCTGCAGTACTTTTACCTCCTCCTGTTGTGATAGCAACTGCATTTTTTTTAAAATCGTAAAAAGGTTTCAGGCCATCCTCTCACATTTCTAGCAGGATTGTACACCTCCAACATTCCTGACTAGACACAGTTCACCCGACTTGGCCCAAGCTGCTCTGTAGAATCTTGCCACTCCAACAAGCTGCAAGGAGGGAGGGCTTCCCCTTTTCCATATCTGTACCATCAGGACCATGAACAAAGCAACAGCATGACAACACCCATAAATCTATGTAAGGGGGGGTGGAAAAAAAACAATCAACCAACCACAAAAACAACACTTTCCTACTGATTTCAAAAAGTTTTGACTTTTCATTTCAAAAACACTTTTCTGTGGTCAGGTGATTTATTTGAAATATACCACCTTCTCTCTCTCACTTGTTTCTACTTGCGGTCCAGCATCCAACACAATTATGTTGATGAATTATTTTTAAAAAAATACATCAGAAAAAACTTGTGCTCTTAAAAGCCATGGCCAACATGTCCCAGCAAATATCTGCACTTGGAACTTGCTTGCTGGATACCAAGATGGCATTCATAAGTGTACTTTAACTCTAGAAAGAAGGGGAAGAAAAAAATGTTGCTAGATAAATCAATTCATTATACAAATCCCATGGTTTGCCTCCATATTAAGGATTTTAAAATAATTTTGGCCAAAGATTTGTGGAAAGTAGTACCTTGAGTTTTTGTTTTCTTAAAGGATAATTCTAAAAACGCAATCAGATTAGAGGCCAATACCTCCTTACATTGGGGGCTGAGCAGGGGGAACAGGGGATTGTTCAGACAGCAACAAGCCTGAGCCCGTGCTTACCTACTTAGTTTACTTGTTTATCTCCTCACACCTCAAGACACCCTTCAAAAGACCTGGCAGCACCCAGGGTGCCCCAGCACCCTGACTGAAAATCACTACTCTAATGCAACTGAACTGTCAGCTTTGATGCTAGCTAAATCTCTACTAATCTCAGGGATCAGAAGTCTCAATCAATCCTGAAAAGAGGCTATTTCCTTAGGTCCCCAGTAGCACATTGTTATGAGCTGCGGTTCAGGAGACTGGCAGATGAACCTTATTTACTATCATTTAGATCAAGCTTTATTAAGTAACTTATTTCAAAGTCCTTGCTTTAAACTTTAAAAGAAGATGGATTTTGTCTTATATTAATTTAACCTCCCTGATATTAGGTAGAATATACCAAGTCATCTTTCAATGGCTGCAATCTGAAATTATGACTTAACAGACAATAATAAAAACCTTGGAAAGCAAGATAAATTTCTGTGTCCCATTGCCTTTCCTCTCCTGACTTTACCCCTCACAACAAAACTTAACTTGGTAGGATGGGACCTATAGGAAGAGAGTCAGTCTCAGCAGTTCCTAGTAGACAAGTATCCATATCACAAAAAACGGTCACCTTTATCAGTTCCTCTGATACTGATCTCAGAGGCTGAGAGGGTACAAACGACATGCTACTTCTCCCACTTTCAGCATCATTCTTCCTAAGCAGGGTTAGGGCTTGTTAGGAGATCACTGCCTGAACTGCCACTATCAATACTGTATCTGTTCTACGGATGAACAGATAATTTTGGTCTCCAGAGCTGCCAACACACACAAACACCTTTTGTGAGGGGGGGGGAGGGGGAACTGAAAATGTCAATACTCCTTACAGTATGTTACAGCCATAGGTGGTAAAGAAGGAAAATAGGGCAGATTCTCAGTATAGCGCATGTTATTCCCAGAACTGTCCAAAATAAAACCCAAATAACTCATTTCACTGTAAAAAATGCACTAAAAAGTCACTCCTTTTAAACAACTGCATTCTTCTCTCACATTGAAAGGCATTCAGATAAGGCGGGAGATCAGATGATCTTACCCAGAAACAAGCATTGTGTACAGTATTTTGGAAAAAAACAAGGGGAAAAATATTACTCAAGTCAGCTGGCTCAGCAAGGATTAAGAAATGCCCTGATAAACAGTTAATGATATGAAGGCAAAGCCTTTGGCTCCAACTCAGAAAAGTAATTACTTCCATCTGGGCACACAAAACCTGCAAAATGGCTACAGTTTCCAATGGCACAAGCAAATGTTTAACAGCCTGTGTGTCCTCCTATTGTAGCTGTATGAAAGGAAAAAAAAAAAAAGTATACACAAAAGATTTAGGCAGATGCATATAAAAAAAAGGACATATACAAAGGTATGAACAACAAACACGTCTAAGAAGGGGATAACTAAGATGCCAAGCTGTAAAAGTAAATACCACAAACCAAACTGGAAAGGTGTTTATGCTGTCGTAATAAATCCCAATGCCATGGGGGATCTTTTATAATGCGTTTTAAAAATGTCTACATGCTTATATCCATATACCCTAATAATCAACTACAACAGGACATCAAGATACTAAGGGTCCCTGGAGGATGCAAGAAGTGGCCTCCCCAAAGATTAGCTGCCAGAACCCCGAAGGGAGGAGGAACAGAAGAATCTGCCTCCCCTCCAGACAGGAGTTCAAAAGTGGAAAATCTGCTGCATTTGCAGCCTGCGTGTAGAAGAAAGAAGCAAGAGCCTAAGTGTGTTCAAGCTGGATTTGAGAGAGATTCACTTTCACTGAAAGGATCTAGTTCTGCTATGCTTTTCTTACAGGCTGGTTGCTTTATATGGGTGGGGTGGTGTTTCTATCGTTGTGGACTCTATTTTAATTGATGGCAAGATGCCTGCAGTTTGGGATTGGCATTTTTATATTGTTTATGTTGAAATAAGCAAACACATTCCATTTTCTTATACGGTGAAGGCCATATGCTCTAAATGCCAAAAAGCATAGCATCTTGCTATCAAAACCGGGTTTTAGCTCTTGCACACAAGCGAAGGATTCTCCTGATCTGTCTAAATTCACAAAACAAAAAAATCCCTCCCCTAGGGATATGCAGGCTCCAAAGCAGCAAGTTACAATCTGAGAAAAACTAAAACATTTTGCCACTGAGCAGGACTTTATGTTCTATTTAGTCTAAGATGTACGTCTGGGTATAGGCCTCAGCCTTGCTCATCAAAAAGATGAAGAATGGGAATATGCAAAATTGGCGAGTTGTGTTCCCAAAAGAAAACAAGCCTTAATTAAAAGCAATTTGAACAAAGTTCCTGATAGGTTTGGTTCAACCCTGGCTAGAGGATCATGGCAACCAAAGGAAGTGGGGAAGGAAGCAGAGTGGGAAAAACTTAGCCTTGAACATGAAATCGCAAGATTCCTAGAACCCATGCACCACTTTAGGAATTGTTGGACATTGTAAGTTTGTTCAAAGGGAAAGAAGGTACACAAGATATGAAGGGAGGAGAGACACAAGCATCCAAAAGCACCTAAAACATATGCCCTCAACAACTCCTCCAAAATGAAGCACTCAAAAATAAATAGAAGCACTGAGACACCCGAAAGCTACGTCCTTAAGCCCTGTAATTCAGGGGGGAGAAAAGACAGAGAGGGACACAGTCAGCAAGCCTTCTCTACAGTTTGATAGAAGGCAAAATAGGCCACAAGCTTTCCTCACACTAGTCTACAAAATTTGTCTGCCATATTTTTGCAGCGGATGTATAATCACCCCTGGCCAAATTTATAACCATGATGACAAATCCTTAACTACAGCAGTGCTAGTAGGCACAACCACTAGACCTCTTTTTCCATATGAAGTCAAACAAGCAGGATAGATTAACTGTCAGCACCAAGTTAAACTGTTCTCATAACCCAAAGAATATTTAAAATATTTTAACATTACACTTGCATGAAATTTATGAGTTCTCTTCATGCTAGGCACTGTTTCAGCACGCTCCCTGAACACACGCAAACAAAAAACATGTGACAAACTATTGTCTTTCCACTGATTAAAGTATTTCTTCCTGGCACAGAAAAGTACTTAGTTAACTGCTGTGGTCTAGGCCAAGAAGTATTCCACCCACTACCAAACACAAAGTTCAAAACACAACTGTTGTAAAAACCTGCAACTTCTGACATTTGAGAGAGAGAGAGAGAGAGAATGTCTTAGCAACCTTTTTTTAACCCCAGCTAGTCAAAATCCAACAACTTTGTCTGCATCACACCAGTGTCTGATCAAAACAACCATGTGATTGACTTATATTTCCCAATTCCAAAATAAATCAAGATCAGCAAGAATTCTACAGCCATGGCAGCACGCACATGACTAATGAAAGGAAACCCTAAAACTGACCTTTCCAATGTTTCCAACTATCCTTCTTTCTTGTCTGTCCATACTTTGTTGTCCATCAATACAATCTCTTTCCGTAACAAAATGATACCATGACAGATGAAGCAAAGCTGTTCAGTTTCTGGTCTTACAATCCTCTAAAAAACAAGAGAACCCCAAAAGCCAAACTGTGCTAATGCACAAGTTGAATGGGGCAGTATATCACCTTCTATAAAATGGCATTATAGAAAAGGCTAGATAGACCATTTAACACTGTTTGAGGTGGTAAACTATCATTGTTCAGCTTTCAAATAGAAAGTTCCAAAGGCCAGTGTTTGTTGTTGCAGTCTTGAAGTAAATGCCCAGGCAAGGTCCAATTTTTTTTTTTTTTTTTTACACTTCCCTAAATTGCCCATATTTTAATCAACAAACTGCCCAGACGTTCCCTTGTATTCTGGATTTTGAGAAGCAAAGATCAGAATTAGATGAGAGGTGATGCAAGGGGGGATCAGTCTTTCTTAGTAGCCTGCAAAAAGAGATCAGCAGCATGGGCACAAATAATTAATAACTATTAAATAACCAAGATAAGTAACTCCTGAGAAAATATCTAGTGTGAATTGAATAAGACCAGGCCTACCTGTTTCTTCTTCATGGTTGTCTTAGCAATATTCTGTTCTGTTTTTGTTCCTTCCATGCCTCTGAGCACATCAATGAAATCTTTCTTTGAAACAGAAGACATCAGCTTAGCACGTTTTCTACTGGAATTCCCTGCCTCTTTTACTTTCTCATCAACATTATTTTGGTGCTTCCGGACAGCATTAAATAACTGTACAATACCCCTGGGATAAGAAAGAAAGCAGACATTATATTTTGCATCAAGCTGTCATTACAGAAGGGACTTCTCCTTCAAACCAATACTGAGCTGATGCAGATGCTAAGAGACCCTGAGCTCGCGAAAACAGCTATTTATAATCATAACAATTAAATAGAAAATAACCATATACACACACCAGGCATTCTTCTGTTCCTCCACCCCTGATTGTAGGAACCAGACAAAGATCTATCAATACAAACCCAATTCAAACAACTTAAGTGTGTTTAGTCATACTGAAATCACTGGGGGACTCAAGTACAACACCGACTTCTAGCAGGGTCCTTGGCAGCCAAAACATGCTACCAAGAGGTATGTGATACTTAACAATTGACATCAACATAGGAAAATGCTCCATTCCCGAATACTGTAATATCACTTCTTATTCCCTTGCTATTCCCTAATTCACTTGCTAATATCACTAGCAAATTACTCATTTGAAGTCTTCATCAAGACATTAAGATATAAAGAGACCACACTGGCGGTATGTTTTGCCAAAAGCATGTGGTACCACATTAAAGTGATATAAAACAGTAACCTGATCACAAGAACAATGAATTTGGTGAGCTCCCTGTAGAGAAACTGGTAGACATGATTGATCTGCATATTTTTAAGAACAGAATCAACAGAACAGTAAGCTCAAGCACAGCGCTCATGCTAGACAAAGACTTAGCACATTACAGTATATTCTTGTCTAAATTCTTATGTTTCAATACAACTTCTGAAACCTTTCCTTGAACTTGATACTACAAAACACAGACCTGTGTATAAATCACTTGGCTCACACTAGTCACTTCTTAAGAGTTCAATTTAATTGGAAACAGGGGGAGGTGTCACAGAAACACTTTCTTACCTTGTGGCAATTCTCTGAAGATCTCTCTCTTTGTCTCTGTCTTTGGCAACATCTGGCTTGATTCTGCACATCATTTCCCACTCCCGCTTTTTATCAAGCTGTGATACAAATATCGTTATGTGAAAAAACACTGCATATTTTTAAAATGTAGCATACTGTGGTAGTACATTCTGGAAGAAAACAAAGATGATAAATCATACAGATTCAGTATAACTGAAGGCAAAGGGAATTTCTAAATATTGCATATGCTGGTCCAGGCTGATGGGTCCTAAGGTCAGTTTGTGGCACCTTGATCTGGTCCTTCAACAACCACTTGTCCTGTTGGGAGATAACAATCCCTTGAAGAGTCTTCTGGGAGAGTACATGGGATCTGGGAAAAGGATAGATGGAATCTGAGAAGAGGATATGTTGACTGGGGAAAAACCAACACATGGTTTGAGACTCAGGTTGAGCATTAAACAGTTGCACAGCTAATTAAAATCAGACACTCGGGTTCCACCTGGATCAATCAAACAATTAAATTCATGACTGGGGCAGGTATGAGTTCAGGACATCTATCAGACCCTGTTAATTAGCTGGTTAAATGCCTCAAACAAAACAATCACTTCCATATATTAATAGGGAAGGAATATCTATTAACAGGGACAACAAATTAACCAGCAGTAGCAACCATGATAATTAATCAACGACAAGAACAAGCATCAATTAGCAACAGCAGCAGTAACAGGAGCAATGAAAAGGAGCTATTGGCTGCCCAAGGCCCCCCAGCCCCCACTCTCTGTTTCTCATACTGTTTCAAGGGGGTAAGGTACGCTGCCTTCTGGCTCCCCCCTCTAGAGACAGAGACCCTCATTCTTACTCTGACACTTCACAAACTCACACACCTGCAGCTGGCCCCCAGCTCTCACGTGCAGATGCTCTTATCAACTTCAAACAAATACTCTTTCTCATCACTTGGCTTCTCGTCTTGACTGGGGGCGGGGAGGGAGGTCATGTGCTCTGGACTCTCCCAAGATGACAACCAAATTACAATGCAAAGCTAAACACCCACAACAATGACCTAGTGACAACCCAACCAAGGATAGCAGGACGCTCTGATCAATAGCAGCAGCTGCAAACTACCACTGAAGACCCTGGGCTCTGGTGACCATGACAACAAACACCCTAATTCATAATTCATGGGCGAATACACTAAGCTCTGGTCAGCAGGACCTTTTAAAAGGACAGTTACTCCACTCGTGTTGACCAGTCACAACTCAGACATGTCCATCAATTCAACAGACATGTCTGCCACTCTTGGCTTCTCAATCCCACATGCTTGGTAATGGATCCTAAGCCCTTTACCGAAGAGGTGAACAGTCCGCAACTGCATATGCTTTATTTTACACAAGCTTCATAAATAACCACACTAAACAGGAGGGAACAGTATGCAACTGGTGTATCAGAAGTCCACCCTAACAGATGGATGGAATCCAGGAAGAGGATAGATGGAATCAGCTCAGTTGACCCGTTCTAGCACACAGATCCCGAAATGGGAGAAAAAGGAGAGGGTTATTTAAAAAACCACCCTCCTGTCCACACTCCAAGCCCTAGATCGTATTTCTGATCCAGCTTATCTACACCATAGGAGTTCAAAAATCACAAGGTTTAATTTCCATACGTAGGTCCCACACTATGTCTTACAGATGGAAGTTAAAACTCATGATTTTTGAAGGTGTGTCATATTTGAGCCTAACCTTACTTTGTGTTCTCTACTGAATGGATCATACAGTGAGCGCACTATGGTTTGTGATCAACTGATACGGCAAGATGTAAGGTACACAAGGAAGAACGTTAACCAAACAGAGAGACTATTAAGTGTTCACTGGAAAAAAGCTTTAATATGACAACATTTTGATTTTCTTTTGAAGCTTGATGTTTTAAAACCCAGCCTAATCATATTTTCTGCCATTATCATCAGCCACAGTAAATACTGTTTTTATTTCCAATGTGACAGTGGAAAGCTGTATTTCTCCCCACCCCCTGCTTCAGGAATAAGTTAGCAGCAACGTTTTTTTGCTTAAACAATTTAACAGTGTTCTAGTCAGAGCTATCATACATTAAGCCCACACTGTACAAAAACTCTCATGAAATTACAGTCCTTATCTTTATCATTTCAGGCAGACTACTACAAATTCATAAGTTTATGATCATGCTCTGGCCTTTGATCAAAAGAATTACCCTAGTCTACCTTCCATCAGCATGGAATTAATAAAAGGCAGACTGTATTCGAGTTTATCTAGGGGTGAACAAATCATCCTACAGCCTCACTGCCCACTACTAATTTGTGGTACCCCACATATTTATTGAATAAAGCCATGGCAAAACAGTAACTGACTGGATTTCTTACTGCAGCTTTCTGTATTCAACAGGGGGCTACAACCTAATCACAGCCCATCCCAAACTAACTAGAGAACTGGGAGAGTTCACCCTATTAAAACAGCACTGCTAGGCCAAGGCATTCAAAGTGCCTGCATTCTGTGCTTTTAATATCAAGGAAAAATTCAAATTTTAATTTCTGTTACAATCCTGCATAAAAGCTATGCCGTTACATCATCTACATGGCTTTGCCTCAGTCAGGAGGGAACTTTCAAAAGTGGACATGACTTGGGTATTTGTTTTTTCTTTTAAAAACAAGACAGAACTTCACCAGGAAGAATCAGGTGATGGGGGGAGGATGACACTGAATGGGGGTCATCAATTTCCACCTCAAGGTCAATGCTGGTGTAAGATGCATCAGAGTTTCTCTTGTTTTTTGCATCTAGTATGACAGTAAGGCATGGGCTACTTGCCTTGATTCTCATTTTTAATCCCTTAAAAAGGCCCCTCTGTTGCATTTTAAGGACAGTCATAAGAAAACTTAAAGGTGAGGATAAAACCACAAATAGAACACTACCCACTATGATGTGCCAACCCTTAGGACTTGCAGTATGCCCTGAGTATCAGCATATTTAAGCTGTATCAGGTAAGTGACGAAACACATAACAAAGCTGGAAACGCGCTCAGAGTTCTCTGCCAGTAGCTCCCCTTCCCCAACACCAAAAGGGACTTCTACCATCTGCCTGCAGTGAGCAATAGTGTGGCAGTAATATACGGATAGTGTCCCTCTCCTTCTCACCTTCATTTTTTTCCCCAGCTTTTCTTGTTTTTCCTTCTCTCTCTCCTTGTCCAACTCTTTATTTTTAACCAAAATGGTGGGTTTACTTTCAGGGACCTTTCTGTTGAGCACTTTAGCCATGGCTTCTGCCCAACCTGTACTTGTACCAGCCTTGGATTTGGCTGAATTTTCATCCACAGTGCAGAGGGCTTCATCCTCATCGTCACCTTCTAATGCTTCCTCTTCTGAAGAGAAGCTGTCTTCTGGGAGCCCTGAACTCCATTCAGAACCTGGAGAAGGATAAAGGAGGTAAGACTCCTGCTTTCAATAATATCCTACCACTAAGTGATTTTGTAGCAGGCTTAAATGCAAGTATTCAGAAATGGTCCTGAACACCTGCACCATTTCTTACTACAACTACTCCCCCAAGAAAACATCCAATAGGGTATATACTGCTCTGATTAATTTATTAGACAGTACATTGCATAAGCATTACCTTGTATGAGTAATAATTTAAGGGGCTTGAAGGGGGTGGGGTCGCAGGGGGTGAAAGAGGGGAAGAAAACCTCAGCAATTTATTATGGATTTAGTGAACATGATGATGATTAGAAGCAGTTAATTTCAAGAGGGGGAAAAAACAAATCCCTCCCCCAACTTTTCAGGCAAAACATTAAAACTGCAACACTGACACCTAGTGTTCAAATCTGTAGAGCCAGACATACTATGCTAGTGTGGCATTTCCTACATGTGCACAAGCCAATAAGCTTTGTGTATAGGTTCATTAGAGGAAAAGATGCAAGGCCTTTAGAATTATAGCTTCCTACTCAGACAGGCAGGATGTGAAGAGCTGTATTCTGTAACTCTGGGATTCAAGTGACTTGCTCAAACTCTGCTAGAACATTAACGAGATGCTCAGGTCTCCCAAGATGCATATGAAAAAGCCCTATTTTTTTCAAAATCTGTTCTTACTTTCTTTAAACAGCAGCACTGCATGAGAGAGAGAGCGTGCTCAACCATAAATATACAGAAACAGACAGACATCATATTGGCCAACATCCCTAATGATAACCTGCCTGTTATAGGTTTCACATCCCCTCAGAAGTCTTAAGTTACTGGCTGTCTTGCAAGTAAAGTAGCTGCAGGGCTTGAATTAATTTCTGTCTGCCAAAATCTCATTGTGACCTTACATGAACAACCTGATATACCTTCTCACAGTGGGTGGTACCTCATGTCATCCTATTGACTTAACTGAAACACTTTGAAAACTAAAGTGCATCTTAATGATACCTAAGGGTCTCTCTCTCAGTTTGCCATTTGTATAACTGAGATAAAACTACTCATCTGTACAGGTGTGTTTTTCCAAAGATTATCCATAGAGTTTAAGGCTAGGAGAAAACATTCAGTCATATGATAGGATCTTCCATATATCCAGGCCCTTAATATTTCATCCAGTTACTTTTGCACCAAAACCCATAACTGGAGTTTAACTAAAGCACTTATTCTAGAAAAGGCATTTAGTCTTAATGTGAAGATATCATCAAAAGAGAATATGTTACGTTTCTTGATAGTTTATTTAAATAGTTGCTCACCTTCTTTGTTAAAAATCTGGGCCTTGCTTTCCATTGGAATTTGCCTAACTTCAGCTTCCAGCTCTAGGTTCTTGCTTTGGCTGTATTCAAATAATGTTTGGTTGCATGGGCCCAGCTTATCAAGCAAGTCAAACTGCTCTGCCTGACTGCCCTGCTCCTTCTTCATTAGCCATTTCACATTCTACCTGCCTTTAGGCCTACCTACCCTAGAACTTGTAACAAATACAAGATTTTAAAAATCCATGTAAACAAAATCATTGCAAACCTCATTTAGAAAATGAAAATCAGCCTTTAAATCAGTGCAAAAGGTCACATAGATGTTCTTAAAAACAAAAAGCACCTGCAATGGGTTCTGCACTAGTTTAAATGACATCTAAAAAACCTGATATATAAAACCCATAGAACGCTCCTACCATTTACAAAATGTAGAAATGAGGCAAAAGTTCTAATTTGCACTTCCACAGGACCTCTAATTTAAGAATTCCTTTCTAAGTAATAGTAAAACTAGGCTTCAAGCACTGCCTGTGGTATTACAAACAGGCCAGGTAGAACACAGATATAAACTGATAAGCTACAAGTCACAAAGTAAACCAGTAGCAGTGTCAGGAGTGGAAATTAGGAAGCCTAACTACTCAAATATGCTATATGTGTTTTGGTTTATTGCAGTGAAACAGGGATTAAACAAGCCTTAGTTTAAGCAATGTAATTCATATAATTATGGATGAGTCTCAGTTTTTGTTAAAGAAATTCTAGACTTCATGATTCTGAAGAAAGTCTTGAAAACAGCAAAATCATGTAGTTAAGTAAGGGAATGAGCCTGAGGGAGAGGATCAGAAACCAAAGGACAAATAAAATGAACCCCACCCAAAAAAGTCTTGTGATTTTGTATATTTTGTATATATACATTCCTCTCTCCCTCTTTTTTAAAGGTTAGTTATAGAAGCATTCAGTCAAAGCAGAAACAAGCTGATGAAGCCAGGGAAAACCTTTAAATAACTAGGGGTGCACCGATAGAGATTTTGGGGGCCAATACTGATAGTCAATATTTAAGGAGGCATATCAGCTAACACCGATCCGATATCCAATATAGCTGCCATCGGCTGGTACGTCTGGTGTGGTGGAAGAGGAGGGGGACGGAAGGGGTTTGGGGAGGCTGATCAACACCCCCTGTGGTGAGGGAGGGGCAGGCACTGCCCAGCGGGGGCAGAGGGGGGACATGAGATTGAGGCATGTCTCATGGGGTGGCTCCTGCCACTGCCTGCACTTGGGGGGGGGGGCTGTGCCCCCAGATCAGCACGGCGCTCTTGTCACCAGAGGCTGGGCTCACTTGTTGCTGGGGGCTGGGCTCAGAGCAGGCTCCAGCAATGTTGGGAGGAGGCTACAGTCACCCCAGATTTCAACGCAGCTCCACTCCCAGCCCTGCACCACCACCCAGCACACCCCCAGCTGAACACCCATCCGCCCAAGCACTGGGAAAAGCCATGGCTGCGGCAGGTGGTGACACGGGGCTGGGAGTGGAGCTGCAGCAAAATTTGAGTTGGCTGTAGTCTCCTCCCACCACCACAGCCCGCTCCGAGCCCAGCTCCTGACGAGAAGAGCCCTGTACAGCACCGGCTCCACCCCACAGCTGCAGCACACCCCATGCTGCACAGATCCAGTGGCACATGCCCCCTAGGGTGCAAGCAGCTGTGGGAGCCATGCCTCCATCCTGCATCCCACCCCCACCCCAGCTGGGCAATGCCTGCCCCTGCCCCCTCCCTCACTGCAGGGGGGGAAGGGGGGGCAATTGATCTGGACCCTTCCCTCTCCCCTCCCCTTCTGACTTACCAGCTGGAGGCAGCTCTTCACACTGGGGGCTGTGCTCCTGGCTGCCTGAGTGCTGTGCTGTGGCTGCACATAGCATGGGCATTTATTGGCTAAATTATCTGCCCCATCAGGCTGATATCCAATATAGACAATATTCTTTATACCGGTACCGATCTAATATCAGACTGATGTATCAGTGCATCACTATAAATAACAGTCCACCCTTGCATGTTCCTATGAGCGTTTTAAATGACAGCAACGTGGGATGTCAACTCTAAACACTACACAATCTGCTGAAAACCAAAGATTACTGTCAGGAAACAAAAATCATTGCAAGAAGCATACAAGCATCCCTAACCTAGTGCATGTCCCACCCACCACAACAGCCTCATGACCTAAGGACATTTCCCTTTGCTCCCAATCCTAAAATAAAAGGCTTTCCCAAAACAAAAAAACTAAACCCATGGAAAGACTCGAAATTTCAAATGATGTTTCTTTTTCAGGTAATTGGATATCTCCATTTCTGACAGAAATAGCTAGGGAGAGATGCTAATCTTTATCAAACACAATCTGCAGGCTGATCTAGACTTTCAGCTGCTACAGGGAAAGGAACAAGGTTTCAACAAGTCACAACTATTACTTTGAATATCCTGAAGCATCTCTTGAGAGTTGGGGATAAAATACTGGCACCTCATGCTAAATTAAAATAGAGTCTCTAATCTTGATGCTTCAACTTCTGTTGTGGGTATATGGGACTCCTTCCTGAACTTGGGACTCCTTCCTCTATTTCAATACTAAAGTCCCAGGCTTGCAAGCAGATATCCACACATTCAACTTTTATTCACATAAGTACATTGGGCTCGCTGAGCTAACAGGGGAAACACATTCTTAAAGTTAAATACATCACTCCTTCCAAGATTAGAACCTGTGAAATAATATCTTCTTTCAGTTGTTTCTTAATAAAGTACCCTTTTCTCAGGCTGACCAGATCAACCTGGCCTCTAATACTGGCTATCTTGCTGTTCACAAGATACAATAATTTGTCCTACATTTGTCTTTCTGGGAAAGCAGGCACATAAGACAATTTTGATTGGAAGAAAAAAATGCAGTCTAGGAAAAAAGTTAAGGCAGGAGTGGTTAATTTGGAAGGTGTGTGCCACAAGTGGCATAGACAGCATCTGTGTGCAGTACATGGCAGATGAGCAGGGAACAGAAAGCAGAGCGGTAGATCAGGCAGTAGATTGGAGTGGCACTGGAGCCAATTACACCTGCCAAAAAGGTTGGCCTGAACTGCTCGAAGGAGAAATGCACAAGAGTTATTATTATTTGTAAAGTTCCAGCAACATCAAGCTTAAATCAATGAATAATTACATGTTACTAGATAAAACACAATACCTTATTTACTCAACTATAAGATAACCCTGAATGTAAGACAAGCCCCCAATAATCAGATTCTACACATGCAAACTTTGTAAATTCATTATAATTTTCCACATGTGGAATCTAACTGTTGGAAGATCATCTTAAACTCATCCCCTCCCCCACTAGTGCAGGTGGTGGGGCAAGAGGTGATGAGGAGAGGCAGTAATGGGGCTGATGGTAGAGAACAGATAGTAAGGGAGGCATGGGGGGGGCAATAATGGGGCAGGCAGCTTCCCTGTCCGCCCCTCCTCCACATCTCTGTGCCCCTGGCAGCAGCAGGGACAGAGCCTGTCAGTGCACAGCAAAGGTAAGGAGGAGAGAGGGGGAGATGGGGCTGTGTGGAAGGAGTGACAGGGTGTGCCAAGGCAGTGGGGTTGCCGCTGCTGCAGCAGCTGCTGCCTGCCCCATCCCACTGCCTTGTACTTGATTGTAAGGTGTGACGCTTTCCCCCACCATGGTAATTAAATGAGAGGAACCCATCTTGTAATCCAGTAAATGTGGTAATAAAACCACTATTCTGTTTTGGTTTTTTTTCTTTGTACTTTTTCACGGCCTTGGGGGCTTTTTGTAATTGGAGACATTTGATAGGTTGGCATTAACAACAATACTAAAACTACTACCCTATTTTATTTCCACACAGAAATATCAGTAGAAAAAAAGCCACGTCAGAAAACAGATACAGCTTAAAGACTTTGAGACAAAAGCCTCAACAGAAAGGTACACAAGCTGGAGAAGCAACAGAGACCATCAAAATAGCTCTAAGAAAATTACATGTGGAGAAGGAGAAAAGAGCTGTCAAAGAAACAAACCCCCAAGGTTTTTAGCAGGAGTAGACATCCACAGGAGGGCAGAAGCTCCACAGCATTATCTCCACCCTATCCAGCCTGAATTCAAACCAAGGAAATAAAGCCCCCTCGATGCCCCCACTTCTCCCACTCACTCGCCTCACTCTGCAAACCAGAACAACCAGAGACCATCGCAGCCACACTCTCAACAGTGGGAACAAACCCCAGGCCTGCGTGCGTACGCATGCACATACACATGCGCGCACATATGTGCCCACACACGTACATGTGCATGGATTTACGTGCAAGCATTTGTGTGCACGTGGTTATGCACGTTTCTGTGCACGTGTGAACGAATGTATGCATGCAGGCCTGCATGGGTGTGGACACGTGCACATGTACGTGTCCGCGGGGGGGGGGGGGGGGGGGGAGGAATAGTAGTGAATTTGACCCTACGGGCAAACGGGTAACCCTGTATCCGCTCCCCTCCACGCGCCCTACGGCTCCCGCCTCACAGCCTGGCCCCAGGAGTAGAGAGTAGAAGAAGGGGCACTGGGGGGAAGGGGAGAGGATAAAGAGCAGTACATCTTCTCGTTACCCCCCAACCCCCGCGATCTTAGGAGGAACACGAGACACCTCCCCAGCTGGCTCGGGCGCCCCCGCCCTTTACCGCTCTCCTCTGCCTCCTCGGCCGCGGCTCCGCTCCCACGTGGGTCCACCATGGCGGCCGCCATCTTGCCCGGCCCGCGTCCCGCCGAAGCTGTCCCGGGCTGCCCGGCAGCCCAGCGTGCACGAGTTCCGCCTCCCGGCGTTCCGGCTGCGCCGCCTCCCGGGGCAAAGGGCTGCAAGGACGGGAGGGAAACAGCTGGGACAGGGCGGGACAGCCCGCTCTGCGCTCCCGGAAGAAACCGCCAGCAGGAAGAAAAGCTGGGGGGCTTCCCCTGTGGCAAAATCTGCATTCGTTTCCCGGGAGACTGCAAAGGAAGTGGCATCGCCCGTTCCCCGCGCCGAGGCGGCGGACGGGAGCGCCCCCTGGGGGCTGGCGGGCCGACTCTGGGTGCTGTGTGTCACGGTGTGCAAGTGGACACCGTGTATCAGTAGACGGCAATTTTTTAAAATCAGAAAAGTAAGACTGCTCGTACATGTGGTGTACAGCTGGGTGGAAAATTATAATGAATTTACAAAATTTGCATGTGTAGAACCTGATTGTTGGGGGCTTGTCTTACATCCCGCCAGGATTGCCCTGCAGTCTGCCGGAATCAGAGAGACCTCTCCAGGAGGCTGCTGAGAGTTGGGGGGGGGGGGGGGGGACAAAAAAGGGGGATTTATAAAAAAAAAAAAAAAAGGGTGAATTTGTTTTTTTCATTTTTCAGGT